ATTTATTTATTTGCTTATTTAGCAATCCAACTATTTCGGGTTCTACTTCCATTTTTTATTATTATTTTAACTATTCATGAATGAAAACTATCAGCTCATTCAAGTAAACTTTATTTTTATAGCGCCTTTCACAGTCACAAATATCCCAAAGTGCTTAACAGAGAGCAAAATAACTAAAAACAATAAAAACAGGTCACAATGAAGAACAATAATAACAGACAACAAATCTTAACTAAAAGCCTGTCTGAATAAAAATGTTTCAGCTCATTCAGGAGTTGGATTCTATCGTTTGGTTGCAGCAACTTTCATACTTTAGGATATTTATTTTGTTTACAAATGTTACAGTTATAGAAATAATCAGGAGCTCTTCAATCTTGTTTTCATTTAACATCTGCTTCAACTTGCTGTGTTTTTCTTCTTATGTCACTTTTAGTTAGCCTTTTGCTGCTGTTAGCTTTTAGCTAACATGCTGGTGGTTTTAGTAAGCGTTTTGCTACTTTAAGTTTTTTAGTTAACTCTTTGCTGCATTTTTGATTTTAACTAGTAGGCTATTTTYCTCCTTTTTTATCAGTGCTCTTATATTAATGTTTAGCAAGTGTTCTGTTTTTCTTTTAGCTTTAACAACTCAATTTTAAATTCGTCAGCTAATTTCTGCTAAGTCCTTCAGCACTTAGCATTCACACTGCATTTTCTAAGAAAGTTTCATTCCTATGGGAGTTATTTGAGTGCTGATGAAATGGCAGCAAAACTCCCTCYGAGATTCTGAAAAAGCAATATGCAGAAATTCAGGATAAATTGCAAAAGTCAGAAAGTAAKAAAATAAGAAACTTAAATGAAGACACTGGAGAATTACATGAAAAAGAATATTCTGGGTGCAGAGAATAATTATGGATGGAAGCTAAAATGGCCGCAGCACAGGAAGCTGCAGACAGTMGAGCTTGTAACTGCACACTTAATGAGGCGTGCAGTTAAACACAGTCTCTTTGCAGGACTGACTTCTATCAGCACCATCAGTCACCCCACCCCACCACCCCAGTAAACTAGCTTTGATTAGTTGATCTGGCAACTGGTCTTATTCCTGCTCTGAACGGTGCCTCAGATGCTGCTGCTGGCAGGACGGGAGCAGCCTTTGAGTGTTTGATCTCACAGCCCACAGCCACTTTTGATGGCATTATCACACACTATGCTTTTCCACATCAACACCCTGCGTTCACACAACCCACCTACCCCGCAAACAGAGAATCGATTAAGTGTTTCCCGAGCCTGCAGGGCGCTGCTGACAAATAAATGGTGAGCCATCCTGACATTTGTTGCAGGACAGAGGAAGGATGAGGATCACGGGGGGGATGAATGGGATGGAGACGGGAACGACACAAAGCTTTTCAGAGGGTTTGCACAAGTTCACCTCTGCTCTCTGTCCACATATTTTACACAAAAATACCTTTGGATCCACATTTGTGTCATTCAGCCATATAGTAGACACTTATTGTAAAAGCATCTAGCAAAGACCTTGTTGTGTGTGAGAGAAAATGTTTTTGTTACGTCGCTGAACTGCATTTGAACTTCTTTTTAATAATGATTTTAAACTTCTTTAGGCATACCCAGCTCTTTTCATATAATTCTAAACACTTTCATCGGTTAAAGGATTCTGTTCTGTAGTGAAACACTACGTGAGGAAACTAAATTAATGTTTTTAAAAGATGCCTTTGAGAACTGACRTCATACTCGAGGAACTGCTAAAAGATATGCATTAGTTTGACAGTTCAAAGCAAATAAATAAGGACTCAAGTTTCAAGATTTGACCCGACTGACCCAACATAAGAAAGTCACTCCAGTAGAAAAACTATATTGCGCATGTACAATCACCTCACTTATATCAGTCAGTATCTAACCTGCAGCAGTCAGAATAATTTTAGTTTAGAGAGTCAGGGAGTAATTTTCAATGAGAGAGTCAACCTAACAGGTAGTCAGACTAGCCTCAGCCCAGAATGATATTTTGCCTTCCAACAAACATCTTAAAAATTTCATAGCAGTTCAAATAATTTCTTTATTGTAAATCATAACACCACAGAACTGTTGTATCAGAGTTTTTTTTAGGTTAGTATAGTATTAGTATAGGTTAGTATATGTGAAAACTGATTGTAGACAGCAGCAATCCGGGGATCAGTGTTATTCTGAGGCTGCAGATTCAAGCTCAGATCGTGTCCAGTTTAAAACCATTGCTAAATCTTTCATGTGAGTTTGCTTGCTGAACTCCTGAAGGAGAAAAAAAGCCAAAAGAACAACAAAGCTGATGTCAGAATGAAGTCTTTGAAAATGTTTTATGTGAAATATAAGTTGCTAAGCAATTTAAACATAGTTAACATTACTGTCTGGAGTAAAAATAATGCAATGCACTTCAGGTAAGATACTGACTACTAACAACCTATAATTAATACACTGAGGTTTCTTCATATGTTATAAAATATTGTTCTCTTTGACATCTGTTTCAGTTATTTTGCTGAAATGTTTTCTTCTGATGTATCTTTTAGTTCGCTTTTTGCTCTTTTAGTTTCCAAGCTTGACTATTGCTGCTTGACGTTCTAGTTTGTTCCTACCTTTATGTTTTAGTTATCTTTTTTGCTACTTTTGGCTGATGTTTTGATTCTTWTAGCTTTAGCTCTATCAGTTTCACCTCCTTCAGCACTAAGCATTTTGTCTGCATGTTTTGCAGAATCTGCAGTCTGCTCACTGAGATCATTATTGGCACTGAAATGGTTTCAGTAAATTTGTTTGGCTCGTTTCCATGCGTCTTTCATCAAACATATATATAAAAAAAACTCTGGTTCATACAGTTTCTATGTTTGTTTTTTTTCGGCTGTGTTTCATCATTTCCCAGTAAATAGTCAGCCAGCGCATTGAARATACAAATCGGTGTCTCCGCTGATTTGTTTTTTCCTCCATGAATCTAAAAAAAAATCACTAGTTTAACATCATCGGTTCAGCCTTTCAGCCTGCTCCCATTCTTTCTGAACACTGGAGCTCTGGGATTGTGCCTGTCCTCTTTATCAACTCTTTTTCTTCATTCTTCTACCTCCGTGTCATTTTTTTCTTCTCTCAGCCCTCATTAACACGACTGGCAGGCTGCTGTATGAACCTGGAATGATAATAGTTGTGAGAATGGCTGTTATCCAGAGCTATATGTTACACTGATGGCCCTTTTCACCCGGCGGGGCTGTAACTTACCGAGCTTATCTAAACAGCTAGCATCTCTACCCGTCGCCTCACACTAATATGTGTGCCCTCACACACATTAGACAAAGTAAAATGCTTTAATCTGCAGGCCTCCCAGCTCACAGGGTGGTAATCCATTCTCTTTAAGGTTCCCCACTCGTTCTCCATCACGGTTTAAGTTCCTGTTTGCCTCGTTGCCACGATACAGCGACACACCAGGCAACAGAGAAGCTGTTTACCAGTCTGATTAAAATGCAGCCATCCGATGGGATAAATTCATGGAACATAAGTATCTAGAGACACATCCTGCTTTTTGATTTTTCACTTTGATTTCCTTTTCCACTCAACTTCTGCTTTTTCCTGCTCAGCCTTACCCTCAAACGCTATAATTACCCCTCAAATCTTCTCTTTCTGCGCCCTTCTCTGCACCCATTCATGGCCTGTTTTTTTCATCCTTTTTTTTATTTCCCTCCATGCTCGAGAGTCTTTCAGCCTACCTATGAAGTCGTTGCTCATTCCCAAGTCATAGTCCCACACCGAGATCTCGAGGGTTTTCTTCGCCAGCTGGTCCAAGGATACTTCATATGAAAACTCCTGTGCAGGTGCAAGAAAAAAATTCAAATCAATCATTTCAAAACGCAGGGCTGAAGAGAGCTGAAATTTTTTTTTTGGCAAATGTTACGTGAAAACATGCTCAGATTGATGGTGGAAGCGGAGATGGCAAGATTGAAAGACTTTCTAAAGCTGCTCGTGCTTCATTTTGCAGAACATTCAGAGCTCAGCAGGGAAATCAAAGAAGTCCCTGGGTGTGCGTTTTAGACCAAGAGAGAGGCATTACCTCATTAAATTCAGGATTGAGAGTCTTTTTCTTCACGGAGGTCTTGTACTTTGATTTTTTCCCCATGTCTGGCTGTAAGATGCTGAAAGAAAGAGGCAGAACCGAGTTGTAAACAAAAGTGTAGCTTAATAAAATTGAGCAGAGTGCAACAGAAGATTGAAACATCATTAAATTAAATGCAGTTTTTAAGATCTGTCCATTTTCCTCCCCATGCATTTCTTCACAACAGAAGAGAAAGCAGTTGTCTGGTGATTTTGCAAACATTGTGGGGAATAATCAATCAGAAGCCTGTTAATCACTTCTCCATTCACAAGCAGAGAAGTAAGTCAAATTTGGATGTTTCTGTCAATAAAAAAACATTGTCACTAAGTTAGTCAACCAAAAGTTAAAGGATAAATAAGGTGGAACTCAACGCCAAAGGGTTCATTGATATGTCTCTGCCRGCCATGCTTGCCTTTGGGAAAAAAGGCCAGTTTTACATTAACAACCATCTTAAATGACCTTGACCTTTGACCCYTTGATGACCAAATCCAATCAGACTGAGTACCCTAATAGAGGTTATTTGCCTATTTATGAGTAAATACATAATTTCATTCAGGAGATATTTTGCACCACCACACACACACACAGAGAACATGACATCCTTGGACATTTAAAGTGTAGGATGTTTCTCACTTTGACACATTTGATTAGAACAAATTAGTTGTTAGTTTTTTTTAGTTTAATAGTTTATTCTTTTCGATTAAAAACAAAAATTTCAATACAACAACAAAAAAAGAAACACAAATCTCATAAAATGAAAGGAAGCAGAAGGAGAAAAAATCTTATAATATCTGCCACTATTTAACAAAAAAAGAATAAAAAACAAAAATATTTACAATTTAAATGTGTACATATACATAC